TTAAGTGATTTACTCAACTTTAACAGAGAATGCTAAGACTTAATAGTGAGTGTAAGAAAGATTAAATGATTTGTTCTCAAAATTGAATTTTTTAGCGATATTACTCATTATCTAAAAGTCAAGTGTATTCTTAAGGCAAAATTTGGAGTAAACCTATTCAACCTTTCATGTGGTGTAGTTTCAAGGCTCTAAAGTTTGAACATGACTTTTTAAGTTATCAACTTATTTAAATATGTGTGAAATAGTTAAGAAACAAACCTCCGTGCCTTCTTGGCTAAGCAAGGTGTTTCTGTTACTCCGATGAACCAGTGTTATCTATGACATGAGGTTGGAACTTTCTCTCCCATTGTACATTCGACATGAGAATTTGTAAGGGAATTAAGAATGTAGACTTAGAAAGAAAAGATAGAATGTGTATTCAGATAGCCAAAAATTCAAGACCTATACCTATCTCTCCTCATGAGTATTTATAGGTGTATAAAACCATATAATTGTCAGGCGGTTATTGTGTCACATATCCCACGTCGTACCTCCCAACACTCCCTATGTTCTGAGTGAAGGACCCCCACCTATACAACGGTTGGTTATGTCCATGATAACCGTTGAATGGTTCCCATTCAACTCAATGATTTTTTTATGATTGAATGTTGTGTTGGTGTCGTAGTAGTAAAGGGCCTCATAGGGTAGACAACCTAGTATGAACGTAGAGTGCCTCATAGTGATAAACGATCTCATAATGGTAGACAGCCTAGTATGAACGTCGAGGGCCTCATAGCAGTCAATGGCCTCATAGTGGTATAAGCCTCCTAATGGTAGAAGGCCTAGTATGAACGTGGAAGGCCTTATAATGGTGGACAACCTCATAATGGTAAATGACCTAGTATGAACGTAGAGTTTCTCATAATGGTAGAAGCCTAGCATGCGAGTAGAGGTCATTGTAGTGGTAGACGGCCTAAAATGGGGTGCTCTACATAAAGTGCTTATTAAGTAGCATTTACCTTGTTGGCCATTGTAGATAATTATTAATACCATCTAATATCAATGTGAATATGAAATATTATGTAAATCGTTAATGTGGATGTGATCTCCTTCTAATGACTTAAAAATGTATGTTAAATAATATGATAAATTTGTCCACTATCTTTTAATAAAATTAAAGTTGTATGTTATTTGTATCGTTCATGTCGATCAAAATTTACATATTTGAAATTTTGAATACCTTGAAGATCTATGAACTTAGTTTTAAAAGTGTGGAAATTACATTGACCTATAATTTTGAAGATTACATTTCAAATATCATAGATTAAATTTTTTATTTCAAAGTTCACATATTTAACTAAATAATATATATAGTGCCGTGTTTTTTGGAAAGATAACAAAAAGTAATAATCCCAAAAGTTGAGCGAAAATTGGTGAGAAATCTAGAAGAAAAAAGCATGAAAGGAATTAAAGATTCGATACCAGAAACCAGTCACAGAACCCTTCCTAAATCACAAAATCCTATTGTTGAAAGCTAAATCAATTGCTTATCTGATTTAATTAGTGAAAAGCCATATTCAACATTGTTGGGTGTGTATGGTTTGCATAGTCACACATTTTTTAAATTTGTGACCTAATTTTTTTTTTTAAATCCGATTCGAGAGATCATGACCTACATTTAAATTTTAATTGAGGCGACCCCAACTATCCAGGTATGAAGATACGTCTCTTTTTGCACATTTTTGTGTCTTTTATTACCCGCCTCCTTTGTCTGATTTATGTTTCAAATGTGGCCAATTTCCTAATTAGAAACGTATTTTCAATACTATTATGTAACCCAGTATGTGTTTGTGACATGTTTATAATTTTTATAATGAATCATGCGGTTGTAATATGCCTATCTTTCTATATAATATGTGATCTTATTATATGTGTCCTAAGCAGAGCATGTGACATGCCAATTGTGTGACATGAATGCATGTAAAAGCTTCAAATACTGAGGTATGGTTGTTACTTTTGTCATCTATTGCACGAATGGGAGTATATTATACCGGAAACTTTATGGTTTTTGGGTAAAATTATCACTTATGCACTAAAAATGTGCTACCGAATTTTATAGCAAAGTTCAACGATGAACAAACAAATACTAGCTGATATATGCTTCTCCAACTACATCGATTATAAGGAGAGAGTCGTTCAACATCAACTAATACATTATTTTCTATTTTGGGAGGTCAAGTAACTGAATAAGAAAGAGATGTGGTTTATGTTGGCTGGTAGGTATTTACGGTTTTCCTTGCCTAAGTTCTGTCTAGTTATGAGACTTAGATACCAAGGACAAGACTTGAGGAAAAGTCTTCAAAATTCACATTTGAGGGTTTAAGGGAACAGGACGTGAGGAAAAGTCTTCAAATTTCACATTCCAGGGTTAAGGAGATATATTTGGAAAACTTGAACTTAGTCACAAATGAAGATAATCGTGATATGGTGAGGATTGGGATTTTTTATTTAATAACATCATACCTTTTCTCAATCTCGTACAAGAGGGTTGTTAAGAATTATTTATTTGCTCTTGTTGAAAACTTTGATACTATGGGGATGTTCCCATGGGCAAAAGATTTTTTTGAACTTTCCATAAACTCACTTAAAAAATGGATTGAGTAATAGAAATCTTCATTACAGACTCAAAGGATTTCTAGTTACTTTCCAAGTTTGGATTTATGAGTTTATTCCTGGGCTTAATGGAATTGTTACTTCTAAGGTGGGAAAGAGGTGCCCAAGTATCTTGAATTGGAGATTTAATAACCTGCCATCTGGTGCTAAACTTGAAGAGGAGGCGTTCTTTGCACCGGATATAAGATTTCACTTCATTTGTCTATTACTTAAATAAGTCACAACTCAGTGACAGTTCACCTTAGAGAATTGATAAGTGTGTTCTTACACACTTATTTAGGTCACAAATATGACTTAATTATGAGCAAAATGATTGAATTGTGACTTAATTTCGTTACATTTATGAATTGTAGGGAACACCGATGAACATGATGAAATTCAGGAGAAAAGGCGCGCAAAAAGACTAAAATGACGCAAAGTGAAAGTTCAAGGATCAAGGTGCAATTATCCAAAAGTTGACCCGATGAACAAATCAAGAAATTAATTGAGCCAAATGCCAATTGATGATATCTTGGGATGATGGAATGGAAAGAATGAAGAAAAGATGCCAAGAAGTGAAAGATTCAAGTAGAGGGACCAAATTGAAGAAAATGAAAGTTAGATTCTATCATGCGGTCGCACGAACGAGTGCATGGGATTCTGGAGACAGCATGGCATAACCATGCGGTCGCATGGTAGGTTTTCGACGCGAAAATTTTACTTTCCTTGTACGATTGAAACTCTTTTGGTAACCTAATTTTCACACGATATAAATACCAAAAGACGTTCAGAAAGAGGCAGAACGTAATTGGAGGCAAAAAAACACTTCTTGGAGAGGATTTTGAGCGCAAGAACGAAGATTGGCACGAAGAGCTTCAAAATTTTTTCAAGATTTCATAACCCGGTGATGCCTTTTATTCAAAACCTGATGTATTTTGTTATTTTAACTATGTTAGGCTAGATTCTCATGTGTAGGAGATCGATGTACCATATAGTTAGATTTAATTTTCTAGTTTTGCAATTTGACATTAAAACATATTTCTATTGTTTTGAATGATTTATATGCAATTATTGTTTTCGCAATTAAGGGCTCGTAATTGTGTGAGTTTGGGTGATTTATTCTTGCATTCGAGAAAATTGGAATAGATTCGACATAATATAAATTATCGTAGGGTCCGATAGGGGATAGAAATATATCGTTATGCCCTACGTGAATCTTTAAGTGTTCATAAAACTGCATGTATTTTTACACATGCACTTGTCAAAGAAATATAGGCCGGTGGTATGTACAAATAGGTTCGATATATCTCGAGAGAAAGTATTGGATAGACTTAGGAACATTGATTCGTCAACAATTGAAGTGTGTTGTCATATTGTGAAATTAGGGTTTAATGTAATAATTGCATGGGAAATCATGATCCTAGTGTGTTTAATTTTATTGATTACAACAACGTGCGTTCTCAACATTTAATTTCATTCTAGAGTGTTAAAATATTGTTTTGCATATTAATTTCAATTCAATCATAAAATTTGCATAATTAGGGTTTCTTTTCAAAATTAGGGTTTAATTAGGTCTACATTTACTTTGGTAATTTAGTTTCGGTTAAGACTACGATAGATAAAATTTGAACTAATCAATCTCTGTGAGACGATATTCGGATTCATTTAATCCACTTTATTACTTGTTAACGAACCGTACACTTGCGGTAGTTTTAAATCAAAAGAAAATATTTCGTGAACAAATTTTTGGCGCCGTTACTGGGGATTGAGTTTAGTTTAATTTTATTCTTCTAGGCATTAATTCGAACTTCAATTTTTATTTTGCTAGTATAATTTTGTTTTATTTCTATTTTAGGTGATTATCCTTTATTTGTGTTTTAGTTATTTAAATTGTTTGAATCTCAGTGCTCGTATTAGTTTTGTCTTTTAGATTTGCATGCCACGATCGACTGGAGGAGAATTGATTCCAGCTGATCCTGAAATCGAGCGCACCTTTCATCGACTACAAAGAGATCAACGAGAAGTACAAGTACAAATGGCTAACGAATTGAACAATCTCATTATTCAAGCTAATGAAGGAGAGGCAATGGACGAAGGAAACGAGATTCTGAAGATTTCTTGACTCCTCAAGTAATTCAAAGTCAATCAGCATAGTATATCCACCGTTTAGACAGCCAAATTTTCAGTTGAAGACAAATGTGAAATAGCTATTTCAATATGGACATCAGTTCTATGGCAAGGCCGAGGAGAATCCACATACACACATATCTCGATTTTTGGGTATGTGTCAACATTTCAGATACGAAGGGATTTCGGACGACGCTATTAGGCTAAGGCTGTTTCCACACACTACGAGATAGAGCACTTCAATGGTTGGATTTACTTCCGATTGCAAGTATTACTACATGGAACGAGTTAGCACACAAAGGCAGTTGGCCATCGCATTTACTAGCAAAATGTCGGGTAACTTGCTGAGTAACACAAAAATCAATCCCAAAAAGCAAGCCAAGGCCATTACAACTCGAAGTGGAGTACAACTGCCTAAAATCTACGTCAAGAGACTGGGTGTGATTGTAGAGACATCTTCTCCTGCTGTAGAAGAGACTGTTGTACAAGATGAACAACCAAAGGAATCAACTCTAAAGGAAAATTCAGAAAAGTCACAGGATAAGGCCAAATTCACAGTCAACCCATACGAGCCTCTGATTTCTTTTCCACAGTGATTGAAGTAGCGAAAATTGGAGCAACAGTACAAAAAATTCCTAGAAGTCTTCAAAAAGCTCCATATCAACATCCCACTAGCCGATGTACTATTCCAAATGCCCAGCTACGCGAAGTTTTTCAAAGATATTATATCAAACAAATGCAAGCTGGAGGACAATGAGGCAGTGATGCTTACAGAGGAATGCAGTGCCAGAATCGAGAGAAAGCTCCCACCAAAACTGAAAGACCCAAGGAGTTTTACTGTTCTTTGTACTATTGGTGAAGTCTATTTCGATAAAGCATTATGTGACCTCCATGCAAGTATTAATTTAATGCCTCTGTCTGTTTTCAGGAAACTCAGCTTGGGAGAAGCTAAAATGACTATTGTGACACTTCAGCTGGCTGACAGGTCACTGACACATCCCAGAGGAATAATTGAAGATGTGCTTATCAAGGTTGAGAAGTTCATATTCCCAGCGAATTTTCTTATCTTGGACATGGAAGAAGACAAAGATGTCCCATTGATATTTGGCAGACCATTTTTGATAACAGGGAGAGCGTTGATTGATGTCCAAAGGGGACAGTTGATCTTAAGATTGAGAGAGGAACATATATCGTTCAATATTTTCAAGGCCATGAAACTGCCAGCAGAATCAGATAACTGTTACCAGGTTGACATCATTGACAAGGCAGTATAAAAAATTTTCTTACTTTACGGCCCATCTGATGCCTATGAGGTATGCATTGTACAATCCCAATCAGTTCAGTCAGATTCTCTTGAAGTTGAAACATGTACAAGATTTTTGGAGACCAACCTGCCATACACCCGAAAGAGGCACTTTGAGGAACTGGGGACGGGAAATGCAAAGTCGTTGCTCTCCTTCAACAACGACCAGTTTTAGAACTCAAGCAACTACCGCCACATCTCAGATATGCATATTTGGGAGAGTCAATACACTTTCAGTAATCATTTCGAACACAGTCAATGAGGTGGAGGAAGAAAAATTGCTCAGGGTACTCAGAGAGAATAAGACGACGATTTGGTGGATAATAACTGACATTAAAGAGATCAGCCCTTCTCTATCTATGCATAAAATTCTAATGGAAGAAAATTACAAGCCAAGTATAGAGGGTCAGGGAAGATTGAATCCGAACATGAAGGAAGTAGTCAGGGCAGAGATATTGAAATTACTGGATGCAGGAATTATCTACCCAATTTCAGACAGTGCATGGATCAGTCTAGTTCAAGTGGTGCCGCAAAAAGGGGGAATCACAGTGAAAAATGAGAAGAATAAATCAATTCCCACTAGAACATTGACGGGATGCAGAGTTTGCATCGATTATCGCAAACTAAACGCAGCTACACGAAAGGATCACTTCCTACTTCCATTCATTGATCAAATGTTGGAGAGGTTGGTTGGACATTCACATTACTGCTTCCTTGATGGATACTCGGGCTACAATCAGATATCTGTCGCACCGGATGATCAGGAGAAAACCATTTTCACTTGCCCCTATGGTACTTCTACATATCGTAAGATGCCTTTTGGTCTTTACAACGCTCCAGCCACATTTCAGAGGTGTATGATGGCAATATTCTAGGATACGATTGAAAGGTTTATCAAGGTTTTCATGGACGACTTCTCAGTGTTTGGATCTTCATTCGATGAATGTCTAGAACACCTAAATTTGGTCTTACAAAGATGCAAGGAAACTAACCTGGTTTTAAATTGGGAAAAATGCCACTTTATGGTGCAAGAAGGCATTGTACTCAGGTATCGAATCTCAGAAAAAGGAATTGAATTGGACAAGGCAAAAATTCAAGTTATTGAGAAGTTACTACCTCCTACATCAGTTAAAGGGGTTCGCAACTTCTTGGGGTATGCGAGGTTCTACAGGAGATTTATAAAAGATTTCTTGAAGATCACTAAGCCGCTATGCAATCTGCTAATGAAGGATGTAACCTTTGAGTTTAATGAGAAATGTCTCACAGCATTCAACAGTTTAAAGGAGAAGCTTACGACAGCACCAGTAATTGTGGCACCAGACTGGAACTGCCTTTTGAATTGATGTGTGATGTCAGTGATCACGCCGTAGGTGTAGTATTAGGATAGCGGAGGATCAATATTTTTCATGTGATCTACTATACAAGCAGAACTCTAAATGATGCACAAATCAATTATGCCACCACTGAAAAGGAGCTTTTGGCCGTGGTATATGCATTCGACAAATTCAGATCATACCTTGTCGGGTCTAAAGTCATCGTCTACACAGATCATGTTGCATTGAAGTATCTACTCACAAAGAAGGATGCAAAGTCGAGGTTGATTCGTTGGGTACTGTTGCTGCAAGAATTTGATATCGAGATACGAGATAAGAAGGGCGGTGAGAATGTAGTAGCGGATCACCTATCCCGATTAGAGCCTGGGGAGACAGAAGAATTAGTGAATATCAATGAGATCTTCCCAGATGAGCAGATGTTGAGAGTAGATGAAGCACCTTGGTACGCAGATATCGTGAATTACTTGGCCAGTTCCATCCCACCACCGGACTACTCGAGTCACCAGAGGAAAAAGTTCTTCGTCGAATTGAAGTATTATTTTTGGGAGGACCCAATTCTCTATAGGTGAGGGGCTGATCAGATAGTAAGGAGATGCATACCTGAAGAAGAAGTACATGAGATTCTCGAGCACTGCCATTCATCTGCATATGCAAGACACTTTGGGGCTTTGAAAACAGCTGCAAAGATTCTACAATCAGGGTTCTACTGGCCTACACTGTTTAGAGACGCCTTTGAGTTTGTCAAGAGGTGTGACAGATGTCAATGCACTGGAAATATTTCGAGGAGGAATGAAATGCCACTGAATAACATTTTGGAATTGGAGATATTCGATGTTTGGGAAATTGACTTCATCGGACCTTTCCCTCCGTCATTCTCAAATCAGTACATCTTGGTAGTAGTGGATTACGTATCAAAATGGGTGTAAGCAGTTGCATTGCCAACAAACGATTCAAAGGCAGTAATTGAGTTCTTGAATAAATATGTTTTCACCCAATATGGTACACCGCGAGCTATAATCAGTGAAGGGGGCAAACACTTCTGCAATCGCCAGTTTGAGCAGCTGTTGAATATAATAAATATGGTGTTAAACATGTGTTGCTGCCCCATATCATCCACAAACCAGCGGGCAAGTTGAAGTATCTAATCGGTAGCTGAAGAGAATACTCGAGGTCACAGTGAACTCATTTAGAAATGACTGGTCTAAAAAGTTGGACGATGCATTGTGGGCTTACAGGATAGCATTTAAGACACCGATAGGCATGTCTCCATACCGCCTAGTTTTTGGAAAAGCGTGCCATCTGCCACTAGAAATGGAGCACCGGGTATATTGGGCTATGAAACAGTTGAATACGGACTTGAGTGTCGCCGGGGAAAAGCGCCTACTGCAACTCAATGAGTTAGATGAATTTAGAATGAAAGCTTATAAAAATTCAAAACTCTACAAGGAACGAACCAAGAAGTGGCATGATGCATATTCAGAGGCGAGAGTTCGAAGTGGGGCAAAAAGTGTTATTGTATAACTCGAGACTCAAGCTATTCCTAGGAAAACCACGATCAAGGTGGTCAGGTCCTTACACTGTCACAAAGGTCTTACCATATGGCGCTATACAAGTCAGCCATGAAACTAAGGGTATCTTCACTATTAATGGGCAAAGGCTGAAACACTACTGGGGCGGTGACCTCTCCAACGAAAAATCCACCGTTCAACTCAGGACACCAGAATGAAGTAGCTACAGAAAAGTCGAGCTATCGACTATAACCTAGCGTTGGGTGGGAGGCAACCCACTCTATCTTTTTAATTTAATTTATTTTCCTTTTTGCATCAGATTAGGAATTTTTCAATTTCATTTTTCAAAATTTTAAAATTAGGTCATTGATCATCCATACATGCTAAAAGAGTCCAAGCACTGTCCACACGAGTCCTTAAGCATCACACACGAGTTCGGGTTGATTGGAGTTGTTTTTGGTAATTGGGGGTGTAATTCATGCATTTAGAGGCAAAAGTTTATTTTCAAAATTTCAAATGTAAATGCATGATTGTAAATTTCAAAAATTTGGTTTCGGGCACTAAGTTTATGGTCTATGTATACCCCAAAATATTTAGAAATGTATCTTTGAAAAAGTTGGGGTCATTGAGAAGTCAGGCCGACCACTAAATTGAAAACCAAATTTTGGGGTGAAAATTAATCAAACTTGTGGTTTTGAGGGAATTGAATATATTTTCAAAGTTTTTATTTTTAAATTCATTTTTTTAGCATGGTAAAAGAAAATTATATTTGGTTCATGCGGTCGCATGGTGCGACCGCATAAACAGAGGTCGAGATTCAAGTGGCCAAAGCCACTTGAACCATGTGACTGCACGTCTTAAAGCCATGCGGCCACATGGCAGAATCAGGTGTGGGTTTTTAACCTACGCCCGGTTCCTTCATTCCCACCTCAATTTTTTCCCCAAATCTTCACGAACACAAGCATTCTAGGGCACGATTTCACCTAAAAATTCACTACACAAAGTCACAATTGCACTCCCCAATCTTTACCCCGTGAATCAACCACCCAACTCATGGCCATTCATATCTAAAGTCTCACACACCACACACTCGGCACTCACGACGAAGGACTTCGAGTTCTACATACAGTCGAGTTCGAATCACATACACTACACACGAATATGAAGTGCAATATCATCAATCGGTAAATCATTTTTGAACTCAAATCAACCTCTACAAGTACAACGTAATGTTTCTTAAATCCCTCTCGGTTCCGTCATTAGGGTAAGTCACGTTTGAAATTTCAATTTTGAGGAATTGAGGGAGAATGGGCAAGTTCATGTATGGGTGGATTTGCTGTGATTGTGTTGAGAGGAATATGTGATGATTTGAAACTTCATTTCAATAAATTGGTAATACCTTCACATTATGCATGCTATATGTTTGATGAAATGCCACAGTGAATATTCTATGCTTTATGGTGCTTCTCGCATTGCATGTGATTGGTGGATGAATTGCAATACATATTGTGATGCATTCCTATGTACATTAACTTGTAGACACAACATGAAATTCTAGAGATCCCATACAATGGCATGCTACATGTTTGATCAATTGTCAATGTGAAATGAGTTATGCATTTTGGTGAATTTGAGCATTGGATATACAAACTGGGATGTGAATAACGTTGATGCTCTCTCTGCTTGTTGAAGTGACGGGGTATAATAGTTGAGGGGTTTGTGAATATGGTTGCAATATATACTGTTTAGCTAAAGCTTGTTTACCAACTCAATAAATTCCTTGAACTACACAGTATACATGCTATGCATTGACATGAGTAATATATGAATGAGAGTGGGGGTAATGTGATGAATTCCCGTAACACATGAATTGGAAAGTACAATAACCAAACTTGACCATACGTAGGCAACACTTGTAGGCACAACATGACTAGATCACGTCACGGTACCTCACTTCATCCACTTTGCACCGTATTTTGCTAACCCAAACAACATCCATTTGACTTGAATTTTGGATATGTGCTAGAATAGTATGGACACTTTCATATGCTCGGAGATCACTCTGGAAAATTTCAATTTTCTAGGCGATGCCCGGCGGTGAAAGTTCTAGGTTGGTCGTGGGTTACTTCTATCAAAGTGTATGGTTTGACCTAATTTTTGTTGGTGTTTCACATTTCTTTGGTACTAACACTATCTTGGAACATGTTTCATGCATTTTACACATCAACGTCATGTACATGCACTTTGAAGCAAGTTTGGGAGATTTGTGCAATGCATACTTTATTTTCTCACTTCATGCCTATTCTTTTCACATCAAACTTAATGAGCGTAGTTTTACAGACTTTGTAGGATGCCTCCTAAGAGAACTTTGCATGGGAAAGAAAAAGAAAGCTCCTTCACCGGGACAGCCCGTACTCGAGAGCTTGCGGGGGAAGTTCGGCGATTCTTAAATGCAGAAACCGCGGTGCGATATGAGAATATCATATGCTATTGGACTATACACGCTGAAAGACCCGTTAAGCTTGATGATTTCTCGGGTTTTGAATTGGTCAACTTAGTTCAGATCTGTGGGTGGCACAAGTTGGTGGAGCGACCACATCCAATCTATGAGACTCTATGCCGAGAATTCTTCGCCAACTTCAACAGTGAAATTGACACGCCAAGTTCCGAGCATTTTCGTCAGACTTGGGTGCAGGGGAAATGAATTATGTTCTCTCCCGAGGTCATTCATGATTATTACCAGCTCACCGTGGAGAATGTGATCCCTATTCCAGTTGAATTTAATTGGAATGAAGTGGCTGAGGTCTTGATGGAGCGGGAAAATGCATGGCCCCTTGCAACTATCGAGTGGCATCAGATCGAGCTTACCCCATCCATAGCCATTCTATGGCTCTTCATGTGCCATAATATCGAGCCCATATCACACAGGACTACATTTCATGATTAGGCAACAGGGTTCATCTACCACTTGGTTCGGGGTAACAAGATAGATCTCGCCACTCTTATATACAATCAACTACACACATTGGGAAC